AACTGCAAGAGGCTTCCCAAGTCTTGACCAATTTTATTGTTTTTGTTTGTTTTCAGCTTTCTTCGGCTGGAAGCAATCTCATCCGATTTTTTTGTTTATTTATTAACAGCCTGGATCGTGATTTTGTCGATGGCTATTATCAACCATGTGCTGCGGACTTAGGTATTGTCTTACAAGATACTTGCCCTGCACGTTTTGATACCGGGAGGAGGAAGCAAAGCAGATAATAAAATACCTTTTTTTGCAGACGTGAACTTCATGTTCTGTACAATTTTTTTGGTTTTGTAAGTTTATTACTTTGTTGTTACATATGTAGCTAGAACCTTACAGTTGGGAAATAGACAGGGCTGTATCCCAAATACAAAGTACATGAAGTAGAAGTGTGTTTATAAAAGATGATTACAACTGTGATTATAGGTGTAAAGTGAGTTTGACTGTATTTCATGCACTAGCTCGAGTGTCATATAAGCCTGTCATGTCATATGGGTTGTGCTGGACCAGGCATTCTTGGCTCATCTAGAGTAAAGTGGGTTAGAAGTACCGGTGCATGCAAGCCTATCACCATTTATGAGCCGGCTGGGCTGGGGTCCTAGCACCATGTCGGACATTGATAGATCGTCGACACGAGTCAGGAATGTTTGATGACATATCTAAATTATGTTTAGGATTTTGTACACGTCATTGATGCGTTTCAACACGTTGGTTATGCTTTGATAGATTGTCAACACATTGGAATTAGAATTGTCAACCAGCGTGTTAAAGACGTGTTGTGATAGCTTACTTTTGAATGTGTCCAGGTCAGAACTTTATAGAAAATTTTTGTTCATGATCTACATGTAGAGGAATTACCCAAATGGTCATTGAACCTTGTAAAAAGTTTTCATGGGATCACTGAATTTTAAAAATCACCTAATTCATCACTTAGTGGCTCTCGAGAAATCTTTTACAAAGTTCAGTGATCCTTGAAAAATCTTTTGCAAAGTTCAGTGATGAATGGAGTGATTCGTTTGGCCCTCATTTTATGGTAATGAAAATGAGTGGAATTGTGTTTATTTGAAAAATGAGTGTTTGGAAAAGAAAGAAATATTTTCGATTAACGTGTAATATTATTTTATAGACGATTGTATGGTTGAAAATAAGAGAGAAAAATGAAGTGTAATAAAATAAAAATTAATGAGGGTCAAACGGGGGTTTAATGTTTAGTGACCCTATGATAATCTTTTGCAAAGTTCATGACCATTTGATAATTCATTCTTTACATGTCTACTAGCGTTACTCTTAAGGCAGTGGGCAGGAGAGTTGGTCCTACCAAAGGTGATCAGGCCCAGCATCCATGCCAATCTTGGAAATTACATTAAAATTTAAAAATATAATCTCAACATTATTTAATTTTTTGCTCTTAAAACAAAGGTTTTTATGAATTCAGGCGCAAGAATTTAAATCATAAATCATTGAAAAATATATCAAATTATTGTTGGGAAAATATAGAATATCAAGATTCTGCAATATTTATGATCTTAAATCTTAGGATTATCTTAAATTCTATTGCTCAAACTTAAACTTTGATTTATAATCATTTATTTTACTATAATATCTTTCAAACGAGTGTTGGGATCATTATTAAATATTTTAGTACGTTAAATTTGAAACTTTGTTCATTTGATCTTCGAAAAGTCTTGTGCATAGTGGATGTCGAAGCATCCACCCCACAAACACTGGTTTGACCCCAAGGCTTCTTCTTCTTCACTCCATGTTTCCTCATTTCCCCAAGTCCGTCTGGAAGGTACAAACTAGTTATAGACAAATAGTTGTTTAGCACTTAAACATGAACAAACTTTTGTAAAATTTTCACCCAGTTGGAGTAGAAATTACGAAACATGGACCGGCAACGCTAAGAACAAGATAGTCACGAACTTGTATCAACAAATATCTTGAACACGATATCATTGTCCTCAAACGATATTTGCCCCTTCTCCTATTGATTTGAGATGTTTCGAAGGTTGATGGCAAATTGTTTGTAAGATTTTAACAAGCCTTAACAAGAATTAATCATCAAAGCACGAGTGAAAAATCTTTGAAAACTCGAAGAACACAAGGGTTGAACATAACTATGAATGAACAAATTTTGATCTTTGATTGGAGATTAATATGGAATCTCTAATTATTTATTTATTATTATTTTTTTAATGATCTTTTTGCCTTCAATATGAATCCACTATTTACAGGCATAAACCACATGTATGAAATGGTGCCAAAATATAAGCTAAAAGTCACCAAAATTGAACTTACAACGGCAAAAAATCGACCTCAAACGATCAGATTTTTTGTACCATGCGACACGGTCCATGTGGTCGCATGGTCAAAGCAGGCCTCTAGGTTTCGATAGGTTCTTGTGCGACCGCAAGATTATATGCTTGTACGGTCGCACAGGCCACACTCAGGCCCACGATTTCCAATTTAATTCCAACTTCCACTTCCATACATTGATTTATTGATGTTGAACAACAATTCTCAACAATCTCCCATTTGATCAATATTCAATAAAATCTCATATTCAAAGAATACGACACTCATGCCTAAGAATTAGATATATTTTGATTTGAATCTAATCATAGTGTAATTCAAACAAAGTATAATCGAAATGAAAGGTAACGTGTAGCTTTGGACCAATTATTCCATATAACAATACCGATAAGAACACACGAGTACCACGTGTTCTCAAGTTCCGTATATCTTGCTTAGCGCTTTTATAGTCTTGCGCTTATCATTTTCAACAATCTTTTAAGAGAGAAACTTCAACTCTCTATTAAAGCGGCATCACCTTGAAGATTGTTTAGGTGAAGTTCTTCCAGTACCTTCGTTACTTTTAGAGGTACTTGTGTTTTAGCACTGACCTTCATTAAGAGTTTAAATCTCATCCTTCATTTCAGTAACAACCAACATTATTTTAATTAGGATATGATTATTGCGGATTTTAATAATGCTGAAACGATTCACATATCGAATGACCTGTTGTTACCCTTTGAACCCGTAAATTACCTTTTAAGTAATGACAGATAGGGTTGCTGTCATTGGTGAACCTTTTTAGTTAAGGAGTTTCATCCTCATCCTACTTGAAGTAGATGCTGCTAAATCTCTGTTTAGAGGTTTAATCAAATGATCCACCAAATTCTCAATTGACCTTACATAATTTAGTA